ATCCAGGATCTTCTAACGCAGTGGTTTCTCAACGTTCCTAATGGTGTGACCGTTTCATACAGTTCCTCATGTTGTGGTGACCCCCCAACCATAACAATATTTTCATTGCTACTTCATCACTGTCATTTTGCTACTGTTATGAACAGGGCATCCCCTGTGAAAGGGTCGTTCAACCCCCAAAGGGGTCGTGACCCACAGGTTGAGAATCGCTGTTCTAATGTGTTCCCTTTCACGTGTTTGAGTGGTCTACCGGTTCAATGGCCTAGTTGTATTCACGTGTCTTTGATTTTCATCAGACTTGTTCCTCCAGACAGGGAGACACCAATAGTTGCACCTTAAATGGCGGGGCACAAGTTCTGAAGACCTTAGTCGCTACTCACTAAAGTAAAATATAGAACATTGTCTTTGCGAACTATGTTAGAGATTTAACATATTTATTATTTTTTTAACATATTTATTCTTTACCAATACTGATATGTACACACTCAAGTTCAAAATCTATTTTTTTACCTGAAACACACTTCAACTGTTCTTTGAAGTTGCAAGGAGGCTATTTCACTGTGACATTGTCATTACTACCTATGGTAATTACATAATCTGGTGTCAGCTGTCAAAAAGGTCATAGCCAATGAGGCCTCTGTGTGGGCCTGGCCTTCTCCTGAGGATTCTGGAGCTCCAGTATTTCCTCCCTGGAGGAGGGAGACACACTCTCTCTGCTCAATCCCTGAGAGACACTCTGCTGACAAGACACATGGTACTATGCTGATAGATCCCATGCCCTGGGAACTAGAGGAGTCACATGGAGACCCCTGCCAGCGCTGAGAAGCTTCTACTGCCACTAGATCCATAAGACTTTGCACCCACTGGCATGTGATCTTCCTGCATTTGGCGTCATTGCATGTGTTTTATGAGCCCGAAAAGGACTTTCTAGATTAGTATCGGACATACAGGCTACTAACCGACTTATGGGCTTGATCTGGACTGGGCTGAGGATGTTTTCTCAATATTCAATTGCTCTTGTATATAAAGCTCTTTCCTATACACATGAGTGTTTATGAATTTGTTTCTCTAGTCTACCCAGAATAACACACTACCCAAAGCAATCTATAGCTACACTGCAATGTGCATCCAGATTTGAACATCATTCTTTAAAGAGATGGTAAAACTAAACCTAATCACCAACTTTATACGGAAAGAAAAGAGACTCTGCATAACCAAAGCACTACTAAAGGAGAACAAAGTAGGAGGACTCGCACTTCCCATTCTCATTCTCAAAACCTACAAAACAGCCTAGTACTGGTACAATGACAGACATATAGGCAGAAAGAACAGAACCGAGAACCCAGAAGGGAATTCATCCACCTATGGACAGCTATCTTTCACAAAGGTCCCAAACTCATTAAACTGGGAAGAGACCGTCACTTTCACAAACGGTGCTAACAAATGTAGATACCAGAATCATGAAACCTGGATCCATGCCTCACTCCATGTATTAAAAATGAACTCAGTATGGGTCAAAAACCTAAATGTAACACGTAGAAATATAAAAAACATCAATTAAGAAAAGGGACAAACTTAGGAGCCCCTATAACATGGCATAAATAAATGAGATGTCTCTTAAAAATAACACATTTTACCAAAAAAAGTAAAAAGGGAAACCACAGGCGGGGGGTGGTGGTGGTGGTGGCGTGAAATGGCAGTGACAAGTCAAACCAAGGGACCGATCCCTAAAATTTATAGAAAACTTCAACACCTTAACAAGAAAAAGAGAAATAATCCAGTTAAAAAACAGGCAGACAGGGGCTCAAGTAGAAAATGTTTTGGAAATGATGATGGCAACATATGTACAAATATGCTTGATACAATTGATGTATGGAATGTTTTAAGAGCCATAAGAGCCCCCAATAAAATGATATAAAAAAATGGGCAGAGGACATGAACAGATAGGTATGTCACCAAAGGTGGCATTCGGGTAACCAACAAACAAAGGAAACTACTCAGGATCTTTAGCCATTAGAGATGCAAGTGCGAACAATGAAATATCACCTCATCCAGGCATTAACAGCAAAGTTAATAAAAAATGTTGATGACGGTCCAGAGACTGGAACCCTTATACATGATTGGTGGCACTGTAAAACCATGCAACTACTATGGAAAGCAATATGACACTTCTTCAAAATTTGGGAACAGAAATACCCTATGACCCTTGACTTGGCATATATTCCAGAGAAATAAGAGCCACATAGGAATATATATGCACCCTCTTGTTCATTGCAGCTAGTCACAATAGCAAAAAGATATAAACAACCCCTTAAATGCCCATCAGTGGAATTATACATAACTGAATTTGGTATATACACATAATGCAATACTACGCAATGTTAAAGAATAATCATCAATCTTTAAAACATGAATGAACTTGAAGGACATTAAGCTGAGTGGAATTAGCCAAGCGCAAAAGGATAAATACTGTATGAGTCCACTATTGTA